AAATAGCAATAGCAGCAGAATGTAATGAACTGAGTGACATTTAAAAATCACTGCAAAGGAATGTTCTCAGTGCTGCTGTCTTGTTTGTTTCAAGCTGCAGCGTCAGGGCAGAGAGGCCATATAAAGCAGCAGAGAAAGAGGGATGCTCAAGGAAGCTATGACTGGCTGGTCACTTAGCTGAGGTTTTGTTAAGACTGACAGTAGAACGTTGAAATTTTGCTTTCTGATTTCAGTGCAAAAACATGCTGTTGACTACACTCTTTTCTCACTCAGAAGTTGCAACACAGTTGAACTGTATGAAATAGTCCTAAGTTGCAAACTGCACAAGGGGAAAAGTGCCACGTATTATTTTGAAACCTCAGAGGTTTTGTGAGTGGGGTTGCAAAAGCACAATCCACTTGACCACGTCATGGAGAGCTGGGGTACAAGTTGGGAAATTCCCCCCATCCTCGTGCCTTGGAGAAATGTAATTTGTTAAAATTTCATACTAATTTTGTTTGGATACTAAAAGAAGCAAAAGCTCTGAAAAAGCCATGCCAGTAGTGCCAGTTCTTATCTTGTACTTAAGAAAATCAGGACTAATTCAATTACGTTTTGAGGCACATTTTTTCCTACAAAATAAATCTATTTCCCTCTGAAGTTTCAGTACTCTGCTACGCCAGAACAGAGGGTAATGGACTTGATCTGACGTAAAATTAGTAAAACCAAAGACAGGATCAGATTTGCCAACTAAAAATATCTACAGAAGACAAAACTGGAACCTGATCCAAAGGAAAGTAATGAATACATAGCTGATGCAGAAAGATAATGGAGTATTCCACAGAAATGATTGCAAAGTTAATCTGAGAAATCAAATAACTTAATTCTGATCCCAGTGATTTTGATTAAAATCAACTTGAAAAGAATGTCTAATGGTTTGGTACTGACATTAGTTCAATTAGGGGAAAAGTGTAAGAAACAAAAGGAATAAAATACTTTTAATCTTAAAAAAGGAGAGCTTCCCTGGGGTGTGAGGAAGATGTGTACATGCTAGAACCATGATAAAGCGTCTTCATGAGAAGTAATGAGCTAGTGAACCTTTTTCAAGTACAACACTTCCCTTTTTAAAGCTAATATTTGCCTTGTAGTAACAGAGTTTCACAGTCACTACAAAGTGCTTGTTCATTTCTACTGCTGGATATAAGCTATACAGCCACAGTCAGTGCCCATAAATGAATAGGTGGCTATCTTTCAGCTGCCTTTTAAACTGTGATCTATAATGATAAATCAGTTTTGGGGATCTCGCTGACACAGGGAATTGAAAAAAGTTTGCTACGGTCTCTTTCCCCTGACAGTGCCATTTATAATTTAGTCTTCATCCAGAGGTGCCTGAAAACTATTCTGATTTTATCCAAAGCTAGACAAGAATCTGGAGCTGAAATTCCATATGACTACAACCGGTTGGAGAATTAACGTGGATTCAGATCACACCTTCTTTTTCCAATGTTTTTTTCTGCAGCCTCAACATAAACCAAAGCCTCATGCCAGAGTTCTAGGCAAAAGGCAAAAACATGTCCTGTAAACATTTGTTATAAAATTGTGAATGTATCTAGAAAACCATTGTCCTGGATATTTCAATGTATTTCATTCAGTTTATAAATTCAGATAAAATCAATCAGAGGAACTAATCAACAACTTGCAGGTATAATCTCATTACCTTTGTTACTGAAGGTACAGACAATATTTAAATTGCCAGTCCTGGTGAGCCATTCCCTAGTCTTCTGGGACAAGGGCGATTTGCTTTTACCAAATATGATTGTCCTAAACTGGAATACCATGGCAAAGGTGCCAGCATTCTCTCTGCTGTGGTCATGATGTTACATAAGATACTGAGCTCTCTTTGAAGAAGGCAAGTTCTCAATATGCCTAAAAATGCACAGCAACATACAGTAACAGAACAGGAGCAAATGAAACCACATTTATATTATATTCTAATGCTCTCAAGAAACTGGTAGTAGTCAAACTTGGATTGATCCTAGAGCTTATGTTGAGAAATCTAATTTTAATATTCAGCTGAAGAGAAAAATTAATCCAGAAAAAAAAAAGCCTAATGGATAATGCCTTTCTTATTTAATGAGCAGTCATACACATAACTTTGCTTCATAGTATTAACAGCCAACTGGCTGAAAGCTATAAATTGCTACACTCTGTCTTGAAATGTAAGTAATCACATGACAATATGGTCTGAGAGAGACATATGCAGTAGATAGATGCTTCCAGCATTTTTTAGGTATTAGTGGGGAAAAAAAAGTACACATAATTTAGCATTGTGGTGAATAGGTATGAAAAAAAAGGGATGTGAAAAAGCCAGATCAAGACTGACCTTAAAGAAAAGATGAACTCCTACAAATCTAGCATTCAGTGAAACATCCTGTATTTTGCAGCAAATGCTCTGAAAAACTCATGCTGTGAAATAAACAGAAAGGTAACTCCTACCTTAACTGAGATAATGATAGATGGGAATTTTAACTCCCCATAGTTAATATTTATATTGTTCAAGGTAGTGATTGTTAGTATATTTCAATTTAACAGTAATTTAAATAGAAATTAAATGTTTCCTATGAATATCCTGAGATACAACCAAAAATTGTTTTTCTAATTCTGCAGACAGAATTCACTTACTTTTACTAGATGAATGAGTTCCAGAATCTAAGCTACTACTAAAAAAAATTTATAATCCTTGTGGTTGCAAAGATAACTCTCAAAACGTGAACTGACTGTGAGCAAAAATGCCCGTCCAAGTACAGAGATGGCCTGGCAGAACAGGTCTGCAAGAAAGTAAACTCTGAAAACAACGAATTTCTATTGATTTAATCATATTCCAAACAGTATAATCTTTGTTCAGTTTTAACCATAAAAATAATAAAAATATATTACTCATTGGTTGTGTTTTTTATTGAAAGAACACAATTTTTGCACGCAGAATGCAATGGCATCGATCCCTGCACATTTGATGGAAGTATAGTTCTGTGTTCTCTTTTTTCCATTTTGTGCTTTGACGCAGGGACAGCTACACTGTGACACATCACACATACCGTATTTATTGGAAATGCTTCTTGTGCCACCAGTTTATCTCCATTTTACGCACTTCAAAAATAGAACTGTCATGAAGTTTAAATCTATCACAGAATCACAGAATCGCTCGATTGGAAAAGACCTCTGAGATCATCATGTCCAACCATTTCTGTCTACCCCCTAAAACATATCCCTAAGTACCTCGTCTACCCGCTCTTTAAATACATCCAGGGATGGTGACTCCACCACCTCCCTGGGCAGCCTGTTCCAGCTTCTGACGACCCTCTCAGTAAAGAACTTCCTCCTTATCTCTAACCTGAACCTCCCTTGGCACAGCTTGGTGCCGTTACCCCTTGTTCTATCAAGGGGTTCCACAAAATATTTTAGTTCCACAAAACAGTCCCAGCTCTGGCTCTGACTATCTTCTAAAATTCAGCAAAATTAGGTTTTAGAAGCTTTCAGAAGCTTGGGTTTGGCTTATAATTGTTGCTCCATAGAGTATCTTTTGCTGTCTTCCTCTGAAACAAATACAAATATCTAGAATTTTAGATGGTACCATCAAAATATCTGTTCTAGCCTTTGTTCAGTAAGGCTTAATATAAATCCAATGACTGCACAGTAGTAATAATTAGTTAATTATCCAGTAAGACAATTATTATTACTGCCTTTAACGATGTGACCCCTATTTACATAGGGGATACAACATCCAATAGGATCTTAACAAAGTTACATAACTGTCTCAAATGTTCGATATTTTCATTTCAGATCTAATGCTTTTTATTACACAACCACTTTAATAGAAGTTGATAAGAGCATGAGAATTGCTGGGCTATATCACATGAACTCCTCTTGTTACCTCTTATTCAGTGTCCTTGCCACAATGGCTCAGTAGCAGAGATTTAGGGAAGATTTTAAAAAAAAAGGTAATGCAAGAGTGACTCTGTCAATTCCGGTGAGAAGGTTTAGTGACTTTTTTTTTCAAAAGAATCATTCAGGGTGACTATAAGATCCCTTTCTTGAGTGGAATCGGCTAAGTTAGAGGTCAATACTTTGTATGGACTTAATAAGTTTTCACTTACTACATCTACTTACATTCAATGTAATCTGCCATTCTACTGCCAGGCACCCAGTAAAGAGAGATCTGTGACTCTGCAGTCAATTGTAATTTGACTATCCTGAATAACTTTGTATCTTGTATTTTGTATGTACACTTGTTTAAAGCTTTAACAGTTTCAGCTGGAAAGTTTACTGTTTATGTGCTGATTATTCACAATTATTTAGAGGCATCAATGTATTCATATTTGTTTTGTAAATGCCTCCTTGGAAATAGTAATCTAAACTCCAGCCACTCATTCACAACTTTCCAAATGGATGCCTTTCTGCTGACTTGTAGTACAGATCACATGTATGTATGATGCTAATCCTTTAAAACATAATATGGAACAAATGATGCATGTACAATATTTTCTCCACACACTTAAGAATATGGCAATGAACACTGGCATGAAGTTACATAGTGGTACATTTACAATGACAAGAATCTACTTGCGTACAGCATGAGAATTTGGCTCTGAGGTATTTCACTATGAACTGTGAGTTATGCTTTGACTGCTTGGTTCTGGGACATGGTAATTGCAACCATTTATAACGGGATTGAGTTAGATTTTCATTATTTAGTGCTGGTGGCTGAAGCACAATAATAAAAGATCTTTTAACAATGCAAGTTACTTTTACAACTATACAAGGTCAACACCTAAGTTTAAACTCTCAACCTCTGTGCTTCTCTAGCAGCAGCTACTTACTTCCCAGATTCACTAAGAATATACTTGATATATGGAGAATTCAAGGCTACAGTGGCTGTGTCTAAGACAATAAATAATTACAATTGTTACATACTTGCTAAGTTACTGTTTAAATATTCTGATTATTTTATATCTTCTTTTTAGCTTCTTGCTCAGAAGTGGCCTTTTGGAGATTCTGAATTTGGACAGTTTCTTTGCAAATTCCTTCCCTTCATACAGAAGGCATCGGTGGGAATCACAGTCCTTAATCTCTGTGCCCTTAGTGTGGACAGGTACAGTATGTTTTACTCTTGACAGGCACTGCTCTTGCCCATGCAGATTTTCTAAAACTGGGAGCACTCAGTATGGTTTTCTTAGCAGGCAGACTACAGTATAGATGTAAGGTACATTCTGCTTTATTATATCCTGGCTATAAAAAAAGCACCATATTTGTGGCACAAAGTATGATAGGAAGACATTGGACTAATTAACTTCACAGTTTTTTAAAGGTATCTAAAAGCTCTAATAAGCATTATCTCAATTTCCCTTATCAGATGAAAATGTATTGGGATTTGACTCAGTATTCAGACTTTCTGCTTTCATATGATCTCATTTGGTTTGTATTTGAAGAGGACCATAACCTTTAGTCTTAAAAATATTTTCAAATCACTGCCTATGGACCATAATTACAGTGTTTATTTTGATGGCTTCTACAACTTAGTTTTACTGAAAAACATGTTGGGAATTTGCTTTGATAGTTTGACATTAATAGTTTGAAAATTAATGTCTTTGCTAAAAATGCTCAGGAAGATACACAACTTTTTTGCTAGAACAACAGCTAAGATGTTTCTGAACATTATTTTTTTATGTTTTATTTTCTTCATACATACAAGGCAATAGCAGATGAAGAGTTCACTGCTGTAAAACCATGCATTTTTATTGGTCTTGAGTTTATTTAATCATGTTCTAGTCCAAAATATTAGTGACTCTGATACGGAAAATACTGATAAATAAAGTACATTTTATGTATTAGTACAGTGATGCAAAGGTACAAGAAACCTCAAAATGAATCTTGGGCTGGTTTTACATTAAAAGTTCATATATCAGTTTTCCAATGGATGAGTAATTTAGTAGTATCTATACCTGAAATACAGTTCATTATTGCATTAGTAAATCACTAGCTGAAGCCAGAAACAAAATAAAAAAGTTACACAGGCAAGTATTTTATTTCCATTTTTGAGTCTGAGAAGTACAAAAAAATTCTATCTCGCAGATAATATTTGCCCAACATAAAATAGAATCTCATGGACTGCTCTAAGGAATCCTAGATCAAGCACATATGAAAAAACCAGTTTCTTAGATAGGTTCTGACCAATGCAGTTTCACTAGATTTAGTCCATTACATACATTTTCATAAATTGGTAGTAACTCAGCTGAAGCTACCTCTTTGTGTGTGTATATGTATATATATATGTGTGTGTGTGTGTTTTACAACCACTGATTTACTAATCCTCACAACAATCAAATGACATTTCCATTTGAGTATAAACCCCTATATGGGATTAGACTCAGACTATTTCATTTCCTCCCCTAGTTTACATGCTTTGCCAAGGACGTATGCTTTATCATCTGGTGCTACGTTAGTAATTGGTTGCAGAGAATGTGTGCTAGAAAACAGATGTATAGAGCCAGATCCTGACACTGGGCAATGTGAAGTGAGTCTAGATTAAATCACTGTGAAATCAGTATCTGACAGCTCCTTCAAAAGTTAGGTTGGGCACTGGAAGTGGCATAGTCACATGAATATAAAATTCCACATCAGCTAATGTTTGCTTTTTAGCATGGAAAATGAGTAAATATGAAATTGTGTTCTGTCACAGCTGGACTGTTTCTGGTCTACAGGCAAGTTATTTTTTCCTTAGAAAAGCTCCTGAAAACTATCTTGTTTATTGTTATTTTGGTTGTCTATATATGGAATTGCATTCTACAAGGTAGAAGAAGATAGAGTCAATTGGTATAATGAATTCAGAGCACCATAGCTTTGATAATTGTTGACTCTCTGTCCCTTTTGCAGACTACAGCCTTAATTTAGAACAAGATGTTTGTTCTTTCCTACAAGGACTGGTTTCTCTGTTGACTACATCCTATTGTGAAACGTCACTCATTACTAGTGCCTCTCACAAGCACAAAGTGTCTTGCACTGACAGTGTATTAAGGTTTAAGCATGCATGCCCAAGGGAAACAATCCCTACTCACACATTTAAGAGGCTGACAGAAAACATCAAACCAGCCATTCACCCTTCACAGGAAGCTCGCATTTGTTTCAGATGCCTCTCAGGCATTTTTAAACTCTAGGTCATGAGATAGTCTGACTCTTTTTCTAAACAGTGCCTGACTGTGACTAAGGGGAAGGACATTTCCCTTCCCAAGCTTTAACTCTTCCTTATGTCTCAGGCATAATGATTTTGATGAAGAAATGGTTTTAAGATGAAGAGTGAAGATATGGATCTCATTTCATATGTATACACCCTCTTCTTGCCTCCTCTGCATACCAAATTGCATAGGACAGTAATTTCAGGGTAGGTACTTTCAACTTGCCCATCTTCCAGTAAGTGTATTAGATAAGACTTTACCACTAAATCAAAGCTCTAAGAGCTTTATTTTACTAAGAACTTTATAATCAACACACTGCTGGCTATCTTTAAAATTAAGAACAGCTGTGATCTTCACAATGAAGAGGAATATATTGATATCAGCAACGGTAGTGTCATTTAGGAAGTGTTCTGACACTAACCTTGACAGTGACGGCTTCTTGCTCCTTGATCAAGTCTCTTATTTTCTGTACTGCTTTTGTCTCTTAGAAAGGACTGATGGTAATTACGGAACAGAAATATGTAATACTAGTGGGCCATTTGAACAACTAATTTTCTAATGCAAGCAAAAGGAACAGGGAGGTAAAAGCACCAACTCTGTAAGACAGCAGGTATAGAGGACTGATAGTCCATAGAAAACAAGCTACAGTCCATAATTTAATTTTCATATATTCCTTGATTTAACTTCATAAGGCCCACAACACAGTTTATTTTAAAATTCTGATTAAATACTACTATGGTAAAATTCAGCCAAATTGTTACAAAAACTAATCTGGGCCACCGCAAAAAACACAACCATACTGCATTAATGAAACTAATACTGGAAGGCTAACTATAATCCTGGAATTGCTCTTTACCAAAGAATGATGAAATCATGGAGAGGGCATAGAAAAGCATCAGAAATTATTCAGTGGCATTACAGATCTCGATTTTTTGCTTACTAAAAGCAATACTGAAGAAGCCACTTAAATATAATATCAAAGTACTGAAATACTGATATATCAGATATCCAGGGGGTCTTTAGCTTAGCAAAGAAAGCTATAAGAACCTATTGAACAAGGCTTCAGCCAGACAAACTCTGAATGAAGATAAGGCAAACATTTTAAACAGTGAAGGTGATTAATTACAAGAAGAAACCACCAGGAAAAGGTGAAGGTGTCCTGCTCTTAATGTTCTCAGATCAAGGCAGGGTGTCCTTCTGAAAGAAATGCTCTAAGCAAGTTATAACTAGATAAGAGTGCAAAATATTTAATTGTATGTATGTATACTTCATGAGGTAATGATCCCTTGACCTTAAATACTGTGCATCTCTAAATATAAGTTGCAGGAGGGACTGCAGAGTCCATGAAAATCAAGTTGGAATAAATGGCTAAGAATAAAAGAAGAAGGAAGAGAAGAAAACAGAGAGAGCGACTGAAGGGCAGAATGTACTAAAGTTCACAGCCCATGCATGAGCAGTAGAAAATGTATAGGGGAGAGGGAGATGAGCTACAACATTAAATAGAGAAAAAGAAATTACCTAAGAAAGAACTGAGTCTTTTAGACAAGGTCGGAGAGAAAATGGAAACAAACAGAAAAAAAGAAGTCAAAACGCACGCAGACAGATTTTAGATTGGGGAATTAAAAGTAATGCATGATGCATGCTCCTAATTATGGGATGTTTGTGGCTAGACAAAGATCCTATATATTACGTAACTCACAGAACACTCACTTGAAAAATTATACTACCACTATTTTTCAAATCACTCATACAGCAGTGAGTAAAGAGACCAATTGCAGGTTAATAGGCATTCAGCAAATTCTGATCTAATTACTGAGCTTCTTATGCTTTATCTGAAACTATTCATAAAATTCTTCAGCCAATAATCCTTTATCTTATAGTTATTTGAACTGTGGAAAAAAAATTGCTAATAAAATACATACAGGACCCAAATCCTTACTGCTGTGCACACAGATCTTCTCATGTGCAAACCAGATATAAATCTAACAGAATAGGTACAAAAATGCAAGAAAGGAAAGAACTTGATTCACAATTTACAACCTATTTGTTGTCACTTATTTAGTTACACAGGTAACAGAACACAAACTTTACATTTCTTACTTGAAAAATACATATAGTCTATAGGCCTCTGCTCAGAACATCATTCAGTCAAGGATGAGATAGCACCATGTACCTTGTGCGGCTGATGGGACTGATGGAAAATTGCCAGTCAATAGAAAGGAAACCTTGAATTGATTGTTACATTTCCAAAGTTCACAAATATTTGAGAATTTATGTGAAAAGTTATGTTTCTATGAATATTCCATTTAGTCATTAAAGACAAAATTTGATGTTTGGTAAAATGAAGTATGAGAGGATCACAAATTATTTAAAATTAAGTTTGAATTTTAGTATGGATAAACGTGTGAGAAAATATGATGCTGAATGTTATTTTCTTAATTATGTCAGTATAGTTTACTTGCTTTGATGCTTTCAGAATTCCAGTCCCATAGACCTCCTCCCCATGAGCGAACCATTGCCTCCCTCTTTTCTGATATTCTTTGAAGATAAGGATGCCTTTAGATCATGTTTTTATTGGCTTGGAAAGGTGTTAAGAATAGAGGTGGCAGCTGCACATATCCAAATGTATCTGCCAGGACTCAAGGGAGGCAGAAAATGAGGGCATATCTGAGGAAGAAAATAATACTTGCCACAGTCAGGACAGTCAAATGACACAGCTCCTTACAATATATAGTCTGCTTCATTGATTACTTATTCTGACATTTTTTAAAGCAGACTAATAACTTTTCTGAACTTTTTTTTTCTCCTTAAGAAGAATATTTTATCAGTGGATGTCATATATATATCCCTATAACACTATAATTCCAAATATGAAGTTGCTATTATTTTTGAGATGTAAAATAAGCAGTGTAGAAACTGTTACATCACCAATGACACAAAGCTCTCCAGCATGCATTTCAGACTATTACAAGATAAAAAATAATATTTCTTCTTTCCATAATTTTTAGATAGCACTGTCTCTGCTAAATTTAAGTAACTCATTTAGTACAGTTATTGCTAGACAACAGTTAAGTCTGCTACTGAGAATTTTATTTATGGACTGGTTTGTACTCTGTATTGTATGCCTATCAGTCTTCACATAATTTTTGAACCTTTTGACCAGAGTTGACAAAGAGGTTGAAGTATCAAAGCTAATAAATTTCTACAAGTTCCTTGAGAACTGGCAGACAAGTAGAAAAGAAAGACCCTCTCAGTTCCCTGTCTATGGGAAAGGCTGCAGCCTGGTAACAAGAACCTTCAGCACTGGAGGGACAGAGAAGGTAAAGAGAAGAAGAGGAAAAGGGACAAATTCTATAAATGCATGGGCTGTATTTGAAACTTCTTTACAAGTTCTTACCTTTTGCTAAGATTACAGCTACAAGATGCATCCACACAGGAAAACAGATTTCAATGATTTCGCTTTTTACAGAGAAACTGGCTGTCTATCCAAGGGATAAAGTAGTGGGAAAACATGTTGGTTTGGCCATGTACAGACTTAGCCGTGCACTTTAGTTTCTCACCAGGAAGGTGATGCAGAGGTTGAGATAGTTTCCAGACAGTCCTAACTAGCATTCAGTTCATAGTATAAATAAAACAAATGCATTTTCATTTTATGAAGAGCATTTTCACAGTATCTCACTGCACACAAACTGACAACCTCACTTCAGACAGCACTGCTTTTCCAGCTGAGGTAGCTGAAAGAGATAGCTGGTTTGTATCTATTAGAATGGCTTGTGTGCCTGGAAGCTTTTTTTCTTCTATCAGTGAAAAATACCACCTGTTCTCACAAACTTTGCTTACTTTAATTAGAAATCATTAGTGTAGTCCACAGAGCAGAATTCCATGCAGTACTGTGCCTAAGTACTATCTACCCCTTGATGTGCTCTGCTGTGTCCTAGGAGGTCTAAGATGTCAAATTTAGGATTTTACTTAATATATAAAAGTGAACAAAGATACTTGAATTTAAGGAAGAAACTGAAGGTTGAAAAGTAATGCCTGTCTCTTTCAGGTATAGAGCAGTTGCCTCCTGGAGCCGTGTTCAGGGAATTGGAATCCCTATGATCACTGCTATCGAAATTTTCTCCATTTGGCTTCTGTCCTTTATACTGGCTATCCCAGAAGCCATTGGTTTTGCTGTGGTACCTTTCAGATACAAGGATGAAGGTTATGTTACCTGCATGCTCAATCCTACAAATAATTTTATGTTGGTAAGTAACATATTTTCTTCTCTTTTTGGAATCCACAGTATATGGACTAGACAATTAAGATACTGGATTATAATATGCTTTATTCACCCATTACAGTGCAAAATATATTCTAATGTATATTGGTGAAAAGAGGATCCTTCATTTACAGTGACCTGTCTCTACTTTCATCCAGACATACTAAATAGGACTTCACAACATTTTCATTTCTTCACTACTGAGGATTCTTAATACAGAAATTTGCAATTTGGGCCTGCTTGAAGTTCAATCAAGATCTGTTATCAGTGTAGCCAGAGCCTTAGGAGTTATTGTGTTTCTACGTATAACACCTTGGAGCTTGTAACTGTCAAAACCCATGTTTTACCACTATGAGTCATCATTCTGTATTCAGTAACCAGCTCTTTTGGCAGATAAAGAAAAGGGTGGGGCCACGCTCTAACATAACTTTTCCTATCCCGGTTACACTTACAAGTTCAAGCAAATAATAATCCCTTCATTCATAAGAAATCTTGACTACGAATCTGACAGACTCATGTCTCCAACCTAGGTAGCTTGGACACTGTTAGCTGTCATCTAGATACAGCAACTTGAGAGCAAGAGAAGTGCCTGAGAAACACCAGGCTTCTCTGGCACATTTCATAACCCTCATCCTCTGTGCTACTGCAGCTTAACAGTTGCCAATACCCACATTACCTTGTTCAAAGCAAATCAGGTGAGTAGTCACTACAGAGTTACAGCTTTACTGCATAGAGGGATAGTGATTTTCTGCCTTGCCTTACATGGAGAAAATGGGAAAGTGATGTCTCATTTTTTTCTTTATGAACCTAAAGAAGGGCCAGTCACCATTCAACCAGTAATAAAAAAAAGAGTAATGTTCTTTTCTCCGAGCAGACAGATAGAGCAAGGTCTTAAGTCTTGAGGGAAACTCCCTCTGAACTTGTTTTCTGAACTAGAATTTTTCATGGTAGAGTGCAACTTTCTCTTTTTTGCATGTCTGGCAGTTCTCCTTTTATTGGATCAGAACATAGCTTGGGCTACAACTGTGAAGGGTAGGGCAAAACGAAGCTAGGACATTTAGAAAATAAAAAGGGTGGATGATTAGTTTTTTTCAAAGCAACATCCTCAACTTCAGTAGGGTTACACAGGCTGGAGGGATGGCAGAAAGAGCAAGAGACAATATCAAGAGAAAACAAAAGCAATCCCCTAATGGAAATAATTAATGCAGGTGAAGATGGAGTGGGACTGCCCAAGACTTACTGTATCTTTGTTTCTAAACTCTACAGACTATATTACTGTAGAAACTGTAGTAAGAATAAGACTTATGAAATGCACACCGTAGCAAACTTCCTTTTTCTAATGATTGTTTTTTTCCACAAATGTGCCTAGACAATCTTCATTTCCTCTCTCCCTAAGAAAAATAATAATTTTTCCTCTTATCAAAAACACTAGTTTGCGTCTTCCATAGGCATGCTGGCTTTAATGACTATTGTTCCGTTCTTAATGTGATAAGCAGAATAGCTTCTTATGTTTTGTTCATTGCAGGAATTAGTATCTTTTACTTGCTTAGCATAATTAAAAAGCTCCAAATCTCCCCACACCAGTTTGATTTTCGAGGAAGAAAACAGAATTTACATCCAAGCTGAGAGTATGTCTTGGATGTGTCAGTCAAAATGGAGACTGTTGTGTTTCAATGCATTTCAAGCAAGTACAAATGTGAAAATAAAATGGAAATACCATTTTAACCTTAACTTTAGCATTTATTAACACAAACACCACAATAAACATTTATTAAACTTTGGCAAGGATTTATGATTAACTTTTGTTTTTAACAGGAGCTTTATTAATGTTTAAAGCTATGCTTGAAAGACTCTAAAGACTCATGCTAGACCATGATTCCCAAGAGGCTGAGTGCACTAGGAAACTTGCTTAAAATGCACATTTCCTGTAGAAAACCAGTTCCATGTGGGCTTTCAAGACAAACAAAAGAATGTTTACTTCTCTTAAATCAACCCAATTTTGTGCTTTGATGTAAGCTTTGTGAAACTCAGATTCCACAATTAATCATTTACAGACATTTTTGTGTAGGTTTCACAACTTCACAAAGCCAAGTCCTCATACAGAATGGAAGCATTGCTCAGGGTTGCAACACAGAACTCTGTGTGTGTATGTACTTGACTGACAGGCAACGCTCATGAAGGCTGGTAAACTGATAGGGCAGAAAGTTTTACTTGTAAACATTGCATGGATTCACAGAGTACACATTTTGCTTTGTTGCCCAACAAATATCATTCTAGTCTGACTTGGAAGAATTTGTCATGGAAAATATAATTGTCTCCATGTATTTGTAATTCTTTTCTCTGTAGAAGGAACAGTAATTAGATTTCTCCTCAGTGTAAACTCTTAAAATATGAAGCATATTGTTTTCTGGTTTTCTCCTGGCAGAATCTCAGTTCCCAGTAGGCAAAATTCTGCCCCTAAGGAGTGTGCAACTATGCAGCTGACTGTAGCCCCACCTCATGCAGGGATGAGGCTAATAAGGAGGAGGAAATAAGCTAATCAACACAATTCAAAATGTCCTGTGGAGTGGGGTTGTGGCCCAGATACCAGTAGCATACTCTAAATTAGCAAGCTTTGTAAGCAGCTGTGTTGAAACAGAGGAAGAAAAATCAAAAGCATCCCCTTTTTCTTAGTAGATCAACTTTCTAGTCTAACTAAAGCAGATTTTAAAATCAACATTATTATATACTAGTTTATTAATTGCATCCCTTTTTTCATCTTTCAAAGTTTAATACTGTTCAGTTTTAAATGTAAACAAGATGTCAGAAGTTTGACTTTTTCAAACAGGATTCATATAATCCTCAGTTATTAGCATTTTGACATTTGGTGTGGGAACTGTGATGTTACAGGAGCACATCCGCTAGGAATAAACAAGCTATGAGAAAGATTATGAGAAAGAAGGTTCCCTTTTACACACATCCATCTCAGTGACTAATAACATGGAGACAGGAAGTATTTAAAATGTAATAATTCAGTGCAGTTTTGGCTGAGCATAAAAGTTAAAAACCAAGATACACCACTTTCTCAAGTCTGAAAATATAATCGTTACAGAAAAGAGCAATTTTACATGTCTTGTCAAATGTAGTATTTCACGTAATACATAAATGCATTAACTTAAACTACAGCTTAAATCAAGCTAAGACTTAAATTTACACAGCAGAGTACTGCTACTCCATCAGGTCCTTCAGTGTCTTGTCACAAAAAGCAAATTATATCAATGTCAGGCAAAGGGTTAAAAGTAACTGTACCACTAAAAGTCTTCTGTCCTAAGCTTTGCATATATCAGCCAAACACAAAGTGGCTCCTATCTGCCCAGCACATAAGCAATCCAACTACCAATCCTTTCACTGATAACAGAAGGTGATTAAACTTACAACACATTTTGAATTTTCCTTTTTTGGAATCAGGACACAAGCCATAGAGGTAAATGGCATTTCCTGAGAAGGGCTTTTAGTAAGATTTGTTATCTGAAACTGACACTGTCTGCATTTGGGCATGTCCTTTTCATGAAACTGGATTCCAGTTTTCATGAATGAGTGTAAAAGTCCAGAAAACCCAATCAAACAAAATTCATTTCAACACAAGACAGATTGCAACAAAGGTACAGGCAGGCTATCGATAGGGTAAAATAAATACTTACACTGCCACAATGCCCACTTTGATGTTGATCCAAAATAGATCATCAATAAGAATGTTTATGTAATTTGTGCTGTTTACCAATAGACAGATACCACTGTACAAACTGTTACACTTTTTAAGACTTTTCTGTGATACTTTCCACTGAATCTTAAGAAAGCATATTCTCTTTTCTTTCCCTTATCTACAGTTTTACAAAGATGCAAAGGATTGGTGGCTGTTTGGTTTCTATTTCTGCATGCCACTGGCGTGTACTGCCATCTTTTATACGCTAATGACTTGTGAAATGTTAAACAGAAGAAACAGCAACTTGAGAATTGCTCTCAGTGAACACCTTAAGCAGGTAAATATTAGGAACACACATGTTTGAAAATACTGTTCTTCTCTCTTTGGGTTAGCTTAGAAATGTTCCAAAGTGTACTTGAATACAGTAAATTACAGAAAATGAAAGTGAGGATGTAGGTTAAGGTATTCATTTAAACCCAGAACACAAGACTAAATCATAGCATAAGGAGATAGTGAAGACAGCGCACTCAGTAAACTATCCGGTTTCTTTTTTTTGTTAAGTGTGTATGACAGTTGTGCTCTCCTGCTCTTTAACCTCAAATCACTGCTGGCTAAATGCTTTGAAATTTAACTACAAAGATTTGCCAGAAAATACTTCTTTTTATTCATAAAGGTATGACTCCATGGGTCCTCCTTTCTTCTGGCACACTTTGATATGCAACTTTAGTTTCACACAAAAAGCAACTGTAGAACAATGTGGTTTAGAATAGATTCTTTTTTTTTTCAGGGTTATTACACCATTGCAGTACCACTACTGTAGCTGCTTTGAAAAGAGCAACAGGAGACTGGTACAAACAAATGATCATAGAGCGAAGTCACTCACAGAACTGACAGATCTCACTTTGCTATTTCTGCAGCCCTGTCTGATGTTTAATTCCTAACTGAAATTTTAAAAACAATCTGTAGCTTTTCCCCTGCATTAACGTCACCCCTTCAAATTCTACTCTTTCAAATTCTACATTCACAGATGTGAATCCCTAAAGTAGTCCCCTCTGCATCAGAATGTATTCTCTCAGAGGTTCCTTCTCTGCCGGTTCAGTCCAGATCAAGGCAGACCAGAAGATCCTCCCCTTGTGCTGATCCTCCACATTTTCCCCTCATCAGGCCCCAGAGCCTGCAACACTGCCTGTCCTAGGGCCACACACAAGCTACCCCACCCATTGAATCAGACTGGTATATACAGGAGGAATCCACCCTCTAGTGCAGTCCCAGCAAGCTACTTGGACTGGTTGCTGAAGGATGACTATGCCACAATTTACAAATGCTTGTCTTTTTAACTATCACTTTTTGCCCTTATTCCTTCTGTCCCTTGTCCATATCAATGTCTAGTTAGGATCTTTTTCGTATTTTGATAAATACTGCTACTGTGAGAGAGAAGAAACAACAATTGCTGTATTCAAAGCCTCACAAGACCTACTGTAATCACACTTTTGACTTTAAATTATTTCATGACAGGGCCTTGCAGTAGCTGTTATTGTTACGTTACAGTGGCAGTTCCAGAAGTGATATTCTTACTCCTACATCAAATTCATGCCTAGCAAACACCACTGTTGTGCATTGTTAAAAATCCACTAAAACATCTGTAAGTCTCTAGAGCCATGTAAAATATCTATTAAATTTAAATTCTTTCCTGACTATGAGATTAAGCTGTAATACAGATATTGCTACAGTTTTGTTGTAAAGGAACTATTTACTTAAGAATGTCATGATCGCATAACAAGGATCACATAGAAAAATTAATATACTGTATAGTATCCTTCTATGTAACATGATGCATACTAAATAGTGATAGAACGAGGGGAAATGGTTTTAAGCTGGAAGAGGGTAGATATAGACTAGATATTAGGAGGAAATTCTTTACTGTGAGAGTGGTGAGACACTGGCACAGGTTGCCCAGGGAAGTTGTGGATGCCCCCTCCGTGGAAGTGTTCAAGGCCAGGCTGGACAAAGCTTTGGACAACCTGGTCTGGTGGGAGGTGTCCCTGCCCATGGTAGGGGAGTTGGAACTAGATGATCTTTAAGGACCCTTCCAATCTAAACCATTCTATGATAAATATAAAATTATACATCTGAGAGATTTTGACATCCTGACTAGGTACATCAGGTAGTCTGGAAGCTGCACTTTGGGAGTCCTTGCATGCTTTATCTAGATTACCTTGCTACCAACACCACTACACTACAATCACCAACCAATATGAATTAAGCACTCAGTCATAGTTATCTCTACTACTTTTTCTAGCGCCGAGAAGTTGCAAAGACGGTTTTCTGTTTAGTAGTGATTTTTGCTCTTTGCTGGTTCCCTCTTCACTTGAGCCGAATTTTGAAGAAAATGGTATACAACGAAAGGGACCCCAGCAGATGTGAACTGCTCAGGTACTTCATTTTCTATGTCAATCAATTGTTTATACTGAAAAATATAATGTCACACACTTGGAGTTTATGAAAGAAATGTAACTGTGCATGCAACCATGGTGTTAGAAAAGCAAACATTTTATTTCATGACTACAGCCATTTTCAGGAGTTTAAGTTTTAATAGGGTAGCATAATTTCAATAAATATTGTCTATCAACACTGCAATCACTTTCCTCTGGCTTTTTTGAACTTCTATGAGACAGGTTATTATAGACATGACACAGTACTAGACTAGATTGAAGAAGCTAGGTAAGAGAGAATTAGTTTCTGTGACAGAAGAGATTGTAACCACAAAGAGCATGGATACTTCTACAGTATATGAACAGTTTAAATGTTTTGTTTTCTCTTTTGTTTTCTAGTTTCTTGCTGCCATTGGATTATATCAGCATCAACTTGGCGACCATGAACTCTTGTATAAACCCAATAGCTCTGTATTTTGTGAGCAAGAAGTTTAAAAACTGTTTTCAGGTAAAATCTTCTTGATAAGCTTTTATGTCCAGTTTATGAACTCTATTAAACCACATAGTTGTTATCTATTTTTAGCAGGTGGGAGAAGTAGCAAGCAAAGGAATGAAAGATGATAAATTGCCTAGTTTACCAGCTAGCGGCTCACATAGCACACATACCAAACTGCAAGTGGAACTATTAATTTTATCTGAAATGCTAAATCAGTAAATAAGTTAGACATAGTCCTCATATGTAAACATGTAAACTGAGACAGACGTACTCTTGTAAGTACTATTTATCTGAATGTGACATGTACATGAAATAGAATTTGACATATTTCTCACCGTAGATGAAGACAAGGAACACATAAATTTGACTTCAAGCTGCCTGCAGTTAAACAATCCCATTAACAACTAAAATTTTCAGGCTTCAATACCAAAGCAGACATCTACGTTGACTTTTGCAATTAAATATGCATCATGGCTTTTACCTGCATTTTTCCAGTTCCTACACATGAAAACATATTTTAAGGCTAAAATAATTTCCTTGTGACTCTGCGCCTCTGTGCCTCTGCAAGTACCCATTCACCTAATACAGGCAATGCAGGAATAAAGAAAATGAGAGCATAAAGTGGTAAAGAAAGTAGTGAAATGGAAGACTGAAATAGCTCTATTTGCAAAAAATACAAAAGATTACAGAACTGAACCACTAAACTTAAAGTCTTCAAACAGACAACTCAAGCTACTGAAAAAAATGTAAGACATTATTAAAATAGAGAATACCTGTTTGTCTGTAGCCTGCTCAGACTTACTAACTATTTTAAGGGAGTATTTCCACATGATAAATAAGAACTCCACTTTTTTTTTTATGATTTCCTACTTCTTTTGGGAACTGTGGGGAGGATACTGTACCTGGACTTGTCCTCAAGTGAAAGGGAGAAATAACAATGGGTACTACAACATGGGTACTACCTCATACCCTTAGTTCATTGTTTCCATTTGTCCTTCCAAATAAAATTACCATCCAACAACACTAAATAAATTTTCAGCTATTATTTAATCTTTCTCTGCTTCTCATTATAGCTTACTCTTTCCTTTCTGGTATTAAGGTCATTATTTCAGGCAATCTCTCCATTTTGTATTTGAGTTTCTCACCCTACTTCTGTTGGTATTTTGCAGACCCACTCATAGATAGATAGTACATATATCTTAAGTCCGGCTTTACCTCTCTGCAACTCTCCCTTCTCACTGCATTCAGTGAAGTCATGGATCCACTGCTGTGGTTGCCATTGCACCTCTGAGGCCCTAACTCTTTCACTCAAGGCAGAGATACTATCTACGTAGGATTATGCATTGTTTTTTGTGAAGGTAGGGGAGGATAGCTGAAGAATCCTTTCTGCTCCTTTCAGAAGAGACAACTTAACATACCAGCCTGTGAGGAACCTGGGAATATGATCCTGAATGACCTTCTATTTTTAACTGGGAAAAATTATACACCTCAATATATTCACTATCCCTTTTTCTAAACAATTTTGTTGTCTCCTAAGATGTGAGAAAAGACCTAAGTCACAGTGTGGAATTCTCTTCTTTTCCCTTACATGCTAAGCAGCATGTTGAACCCTAAGTCTGAAGTGCAGTGAGAAAGAGGGAAATAAACCCAACCCAGCTCTTACAATATGTATTGAGTTCTGTCAGTTCTCTATTTACCTTAGTCAAACAAATTTCCCTTTTGATACTGTGGAAGATTTTCTTAAATAAGAGGCACAGACCCAGCCTAATTTGGTGCATTTGTGATGTTTAATCACAAGAATTGCTGGCATCCTAGGAGAAAAAGATTGCCTGGGTGCAGATATGACTTCCTTAATTTCTGAATGAAAAACATGTCTGGCAATCTGCATAGAGTTGATAGCTTTGTGTTAACCTTTTATTATTATTATTATTTCCAGTCATGTCTTTGCTGTTGCTGCTCCCGATCTAAGGGTCTAGTGACTTCAGTGCCCATGAACGGAACAAGCATTCAGTGGAAAAATCAAGAACTAAACAATCACAATACAGATCGAAGCAGCCATAAAGACAGCATAAACTGAAAATTAAGGACTTTGAAGTCACTTTGGAATCAAACAGGAAAAAAAGTCACAACAAAGCTATTTCACCAAGCAGCCCACTGACTGTTCCATAATCAATTCAGACTTGTGCACCCTTGTTCCTAATTATACAGGTGACTGAGTAGACTGACTGACTATAACTGTGATGTTCTGTGAAGTGAGATCCACTGGATAGTAATTCTGTCTATGAAAATGATATTGATGTAATTATGATACCAAAAGTCTGACTTGAACTACACAGGTGGTTTGATCTTCTGAACCAAGCAGGAACTGTCCAGTGTCTGTGACTGTACTATACAAACTTTTAACCTGATTGTCGCCTAGAATTAATCACTCTGGAATTTCTCATAAGATATCAAAATAGAATCCGTCTGTGACTATATTTTCTCAGCCCATTTGTCTTTTAAATTCTATCTCTGTGGTGGATATATTCCATACACCAGTATGTTTTGCATGTTGTCATTTTTCAGGTTTATGTTGGAAAATGTTTTGGTTCATACCGGTATTTTATTTGCTTCTATTACAATGGGTCAGGACATTAGGACATGGGCTGTTCACATTTGTAGCACTTCAGTACTCAAAAATAGGAAGAGACCATTTAAAGTAGCATTAACATTTGGCACTTAAGCACAGATTAATAAAAAAAAAGAGGTATTAATAATACAGTACTATACTGTGTTATTTATTCTAATGCTCTGTACAAAATAAAAATAATAAACATAATCTATATCAGCAAAAAGAATGAAAGATGCCCACAGAGGGGCACTTTACATGTTTTTAATTAACCAGCTATGTAAATTCTCAAATGATATGAACCTATCAATCTATTTAGACTACAGTTGTATTAAATCTAAGTCAAAATGATGGTCAGTGGGACACAGTGAAACATCACTAAAGCTGTCCAAAGAGTTCTGAGAATGTGGTTATTATCATAGCAACTATGCACAACACTACTTACACATTGTGAACTTGAGGACGTAGTCATAGTGAATGCAGAACTGTGGAACTCCAAAACAGCTGGATGTGCACAAGGATATTTTGTGCCTTATGCTTACAGTCTTTTGTCTTACTCTCACAATGTTCAAAGACTTTAATGGGGTTTGATACTTTATTATATTGTTAACCATACAAATGCTATGAATAATATATAGAAAGTATTGCTTGCACACATGTAAACTGGTGATTTACTTATTAGTCTCATCCATTGTGGTTACATGGCAAGAGATTCCTTGTTTGGCTATAATTTTTTTTTAATAGGTAGCCTTTCATTAAATAGTGGAATTAAATGGTGTAGTGTCTTATAAAATAAGCCTCATGCACAAATCTGCTAGGAAATTTATAGCATCTGCTGTGCCAGCCTGAGAAGCAGTAATTAAAATTCCACATATTTTTAAACATCCATTACATTTCAAGTGAAATACATAATTCTGCATATTTTTATTTACAAGGTCAAAATACTAGTGCCTACAGTGACTTCTGCTGCATAAGTTTCCCAAATGTTTACATTCAAACAAATCTTCTAAAGTAAATTTTTTAAGATGTTCTTTAAATTGATTTATGTATTTTTGTGTGCTTTTGTATCTGTGACATATATGTGTGTATAAATACATAAAAATTTATGTTCATGTGTTATAAACCTAAATACAGTCTTCTGACAGTGCTCTCTAGTAGTGCCTAAGAGCATGATATTGAATGAGACTTGGCTGAATTTTATTCAAAACATTTAATCCTCAAACTGTATAAAAATAGCAAATGACTAACAATGCTTTTCTTTGACAATGTTGAATTACTGAGTCTCTTCACATCCTGACACTTGCAATGCTCCTTTGACAGAATGTATGGAGCAGATGATAAAGGTAAACAGAAAACAGACATGAGGAATAGATTTAAGTTGTAAATTGCAGCTTCTTTATTTCAAGGCAGGAGAAAGCTTTGTGCACATTCCTCTCTTCAGTTATTTATCTGATGGTTAGATAAACAAAAAAAAAGGCATAGTATATCAGCAAACCAATAATCTGATTGTTCGGAGACAATATTTTCTACCTGTCTACATAAGACAGTGAGCCATAGAGACAATCCAAGACAGAAACTTTAGGACTCTTAACTTGTACAAAAAGGGATCTGCCTGCAAAAGTTTCAGATCCTGAAACTGATCATTTTTAGGCTTTACCAACACTGATGCCAGCCACAAGTCATGAAAAGCTAACAGTTTTCCTTCCAGCATTAACACTTCCAACATCTATTGCTTTCAAACCAATAGCTGGCTCTACTATGTGGTCAAGACATGCACGTGCACGCACAAAGGATGCTTTAAGCCAGTTCAGCCTAGATGGAAAATACATGTTCCTACTCCCCAGAGAGCTGACTGACCTTAGTGGCAGCATTATAAAACACAAAACATATTAACTAAAGAAAAAAAGAGGTTAAAGTATCTAACAGACGTGAGAGGTGTTTTTTAGAAAGCTTTAGCATGACTTTTGGAAGCTTACTTAGAGATCAAAGCCTGCAAAATCTGAGATTGTGATGAGATGGTGATCCTCATTGCATCTCCTCCAGCCAGTGGAAGGACAGACAGAGCCTAAATAACAGCGACGAGTGAGGTCTCGGAGATCTCAGACCCTGTTTTGCCATGCATGCTCTTTTGTATTTTTACTGGGGCTGCTGCTCACACTCACAAACCAATCAGAAGGACAAAGGGTGTTGCAATGTGGCAATTATGGTGAGATGGGTACTGTGTCTGTAAAAACTTACTAGGGCACTTACTTTTTAAATTCTCTCCTATTCTTCCTACCGATAATGGTAAATATTCCTCCTAGTATTGCATCTACCTTCAATTCTGAAAAAGCTACCTTTACAATAGAACCAACAGAAGTCTTCCACAATTCTGAAATTCAACAATATTTAATTTTAACCTTCCCTTTTTCTGCCAAATACTGCAAAAAGGTCCTCTGGCATTTCTCTTTGTGCATCAAAATCAGTGTAGGTTTAGTTTGGATTTTGCTCTGCTGTTGCACAGAAGCTGCTTTCTCTTTTACATCAGAACAACACATATCCTTCCATCCTCCTCTTATTTTATAGATTTTATTTGCCTGCTGTTTGCATTCCTCTCAGGTGAACCAAGCCTACCTTTTTTCTGCAGCTAACAGGATATTGGGCCCCAATGTTATTTAATATCTTCATAAGTTGTCTGGAGGTTGGGATCAGGAGCTCCCTGATGAAGTTTGCCAATGACATCAAAATGAGTGGGGTAGCTGACACTCCAGAAAGGAGAGCCACCCTCCAGGAAGACCAGGACAGATTGGATGAGTGGGCTAGCAGGAACCTTATGAAGTTCAACATGGACAAATGTAAGGTCTCCCACCTGGGAATACTTAATCCAAGAATGCAGCTGAGACTGGGTTCCACCTGGCTAGAGAGCAGCACTGTGGAAAGAGACCTGGGGATCTTGGTGGATGACAAGCTCAACATGAGCAAACAGTGTGCTGCAGCTATAAAGAAAGCCAACAGGATGCTGGGCTGCATTAAAAAGGGCATCACCAGCAGAGACAAAGAAGTCATTATCCCTCTCTACTTGGCACTGGTCAGACTACACCTTGAGTACTATGTCCAGTTTTGGTCCCTCCTATACACAAAAGATGAGGACAGGTTGGAAAGGGTCCAGAGAAGGGTCACGAGGATGATCAGAGGACTGGAAGACATGAAGACAGGCTGAGAAAACTGGGCCTGTTCAGCCTTGGGAAGAGAAGGCTTAGGGAGGACCTTATTACCATGTACCAGTACATAAAGGGTGGCTACCAAGAAGATGGAGACTCCCTTTTCACAAGGACTTGCACAGAAAAGATGAGGGGTAATGGACACAAGTTGCTTCTGGAGAGATTCTGACTGAACTCCAGAAGAAATGTTTTTTGCCATGAGATCAATCAGACATTGGAACAATCTCCCAGGGGAAGTGGTAAATTCCCCTACATTGGTCAGTTTTAAGAGTCAGCTTGACAGGGTGCTGACTCATCTCATTTAAACTATACTTTTACCTTGAGAGGCTGGAATAGATGATCCTCGTAGTCCCTTCCAACCTGAGATTCTATGATTCTATGATCTCTATTCTACAAGTTTCAGATTAATTCCTTACACTTTTTGTAACTTCTCGTCACCCTAATCCAAATGTATTTAACAATCACAATAAGTTTCTGGGAGGCTTTCACAATTCCCAACTCTTTTCAGTCCAGTCAGTGTAAACTTTCATTGACTGTTTATTTCTTTATATACGGTCTCACATCTCAACTTCAAATACTTTGCAGACTTTAATTTTAAAATCCAGTTATTGCTTTCAATATGCATTTATTTCAAGTTACCCCACTAAACACTTCTTCTTTGGTATATTTTATACTAATTTGCTTCAAAGACACAGTATAGATAGGTTTTCACTTATATTTATGTTTGTATTTATTTATTTACATATGAAACTCTGTGCCAGCCCTGGCCTAGCCAGCTCCTGCGCTTTGGAAAAAAGTGCCTATATAGGTGTTCATCGTGAATCTCACCTGATAGAATTGTTAGCTTGGTTCCTTATTCAGCCCTCATGTTTGAATATGTTTATTTTTGCTTTTAATACAGTCAGTTTCAGGTGTTCACCTGTCTGTCCTTCCATCTTTCAAAAACTACTATGAATCCCCTACCTAATTTTAATACATTTTACAGAACACTTATCCTTATAATGAAGTTACAGAGAATTTCACAAAAAATGCAGAATGGGTAGAACAACAACATCCTACTCATGCTCTATGCAGAAAATTGCTGAAATGGAGTTTACATGTACTCAACAAATTCACACGATAGAGAAACGTTATGAACATTAGAGCTACAGAAGAAGCTTTGATCAGAGCTTGCAACTTGTAAGACACCTGAGAATCAAACCACAGCACACAAATTCTTGGAAACCAGTATTCAGAAGTTCTATTGCTTGTGGAATTATTTGCTTTTTC